AAAACGAAAGCGGATTACAGGCATTATCCGGTAAGATAGAGTTTCCGATGGGGAAGCACGAAAGCCGCACGCCGAAGAAGATAATCTTGGGATCTAGATGCGGGAACTTATGCACCCTGGAACATCAACCTACCCGATGACGCGTGAATGTACGTTGATGTAGAGGGATCCGGGGAAAGTAAGGAAGGAAAGGAAAAGGGGTATGCGACGATTCGGAAGAGAGGAGGCCTAGAGCAGGCACTTTGTGTAAGGATAAGGAGGGTGCAACTCGACGGTTTCAATGGGCCGATTTCAAGTTAAACACTTGAATGGAAGATAGTGAGATGTAGAGCGCAAGATTTGTGAGAAATAACTCGAGATTTTTGGATAAGCGAGTACGAGATCCACATCTTTCTTTCTCCCTTTCTCTTTATCTTTTTTTCTGCCTTCTTCCTCTCTTTCCGAAAGAAATCCTGATTCTTTCTTCACCATCGCTGCAAATAGAGAGCCTCTCGGTCTGACCATTGCCGCCATCGCTCACCTTCAGGATGTGTTTGATGTATTTGATTTTGGCTTTCGGCTCCAGACAGTTCAAGTGGATGGTTAAGTACATTGACAGTCTCACAAATCCATCACGTAGTAGAAATTCGGCGCTTCCTATGAAGTCTTGAGGTCTTTTTCATGACGGAATCTCCTTTTTCAAAGCCTTAAGAACTTTTACTTAAAACTTCTATTGCAATAATATTTATCATGCTGTGACAGTAAATTTAGAGTAATCTCTCGATACAATACATTTATCATTGTAAATAAATTTTGCACTTTCTGAAAAAAGTTTAATTCAACAGCAAATACTATTCATTATTTTTAAATTTCGGGTAAAAAAATATAAATGAGAGTAATAAAGTTACGAGCGTTATAAGATATTAGGCGCAAGACAAACCCGTCTCGCTCGATTTTCTTTTTCGTTCTTTTTTTTTTGCAAATGTTTCTGCAGTTTGCATAACTCGTTGGACCAAATCGTATGTCCGCTACTTTATCGCTTCGAAGACTGGTTTAGTTACCGTTCCTTCACATCGTCGTTTTGCACGCGGACTCGCGATTATGGCCATTAGAGGGATAAGAAGTCGGTATGATAATAAATACGATGAATAGCAGTGTATGAGCGTGTATTTGACAGTGTTTTTTTTTCTTTCTCGTATGGCGGCACACATTATTAGAATTCGCAGTACATATGCGATTTAAGTTGGAATGTTATATTATTGCTAGTTGCTGCCGGACGTGCTATGCTCGTTCGTAATAGGCTGCTGCACATCGTAAACAGGGCAAGTGTGTTTGTGTGTGTGTGTGTGTGTTTGTGTGTGTGTGTGTGTTTGTGTGTGTGTTTGTATATGTGAGAGTGTGTGTAAGTGTGTAGCTTTCGCGCTACGATGATTAACGCCGCGCAGCGCGAAGGCGCGATCGAAACCGATCTAATTTCTCGTCCCGAGTGCGACGGTCGTTGAACGTCGGCCAGTTACGAAAGTGGCTCCCGGTCCTTCTCGTAGAAAAATCTCAGTTCGGCTGATTGGCCGTCGTCCAAAGCGCGACGCACCTGCAAAGTCCGATCTCTCCCTCTCAGTCATCCCTTTCGAAATGCGCACACGAGCAGAGCACGGCCGGGGGTACATTGACACATCGATTTAGTGGGTAACGGGTGGGCCTCTATATTACAACGCGAATTACAGTGTAGAATATCATCATCGTCGTCGTTCGTTATACAACAATCATCGTAATAATTATTATCATCGTTTCATTGTTATCGATCGTCATCGGGTGTGCCTAAGACAAGTCGGTATTAAATATCTTACAATACACATCTTTCATATATTTTTATTTATATATATAATATTTATATTTTACCTTTCTTTTTTTTATTTAGTATGTATACTATCTATCTATAGGAGAGGGGAAAGGGGTAGTCAGATTCATCTCTTGTGTTCTATTCGTTTCATCTGCCGTTTTTCTGATTCGTCGATGGTGAGAAAGTAAAAAAAAGGAGAGGTTGTAAGACTATGGGACGGGCGGTGTGATGGTCTGCTCGTAATCGAATCACGCGGTGATAAGATGACCGCAACGTCATGTGTGACGCTAACAGAGCTTAAATACCGAACAAAAATTTTCGCCAATATAAAAATATACAAACTAGACGACAACAAACAATCGACGAAATTTTCTTCGAAAGTAACTCCGAGATGGCTCGATTACGAGTAGTTCGATGAGGTCGCGAGAGTGACGCTGGTCGGGAATCGCATGCGCTTTTCTTTTTTTTTTTTTACACATATATATGTAGAACGACAGAGTCAGTGACACATCTCGCTTTCGAGGAGACTCGCATACTCCATAAAAATTATTCCGTCATTTTTTCTCCGCATCGCCGTGAACGCCGCGGTGATTCTCGCTACGTGACGCTATGCTTACACATACAAAACGAGTTGGTTAATTTTTAGAGGCGGAGTTATATAATACTCATATTACAATACAATACATATACACGTTAGATTAGTTATCTGTTATTAAATTATAAGCGTCGGATTTTATGCCTTTCTCATGGTCATCTGCTGGCGTTTAATTTCTGTTTACACGCGACATCTTATCGTGCTTAGCTTGCACTCGCCACGTGCCGATAACGAATCACCAAAAGAAATCGAACTTTAACATAATTAATGAATGATTCACAATAAAAATCAAGTAAGAAGAGATTTTCATCATGTAAAAAAATGCCGTTCCGTAAAAGAAATTATTCAATCTGTATAAAACGCATTGCAAAACTAAATTTTTGATTCGTCGCACGAAACGTGGCGTTACTACGTGCACATTGCTCCCTACATTTTTTAACACACATACAAACATCATCCGTAGGAATAAGCTTTCTTATGCACTGCCACTCGTATGCAATTAAATTAATCAGGTATTGAGTATTTTCAGACTTTGTGTAAAAAGCGTGAATTTTAATAATTTAAACGAAATGAAGGGACGCGGAATAAAAAAAAATATGTTGTTAAGTAAATTAAATTTATTAAGTAATTAGGATCTTTGAAATGAATGATTTGGATATTACTCCGTATTACAGCGATATGATGGAACATTAAACGTAAATGTAACGCACTACCAACCATTCTTTATGAAGAATTTGTAACGCGTAAAAAATGTGTTTTCACGAAGAAAATATAAATTATAAATAAGCTAAAAGCCGATGAATTAATAATTAATGACATCGTACGACCCGCAGTTGTGACATGATGTTGAGCGAAATGATAATTAAGAAACGTGATTGATAAAAAGGGGAAGGGGATGGGAAAAGGATAATGGTAATGAAAACGATGAAAAGAGAGCAGCGCATATCTTCATATACATATATATACGTACAAGGGGGAACGAAGGGTATCTCGGGCATTTCGGCTTTCGTAGTACCTAAACGTGATTCAATAAATAAGCTACCTAGGGAGCGATTTCTTTCTTTCTTTTTTGGAAAGGAGGGGAGAGGGGGAAAAAGGGCAGGCGCTCCTTACGTGGCGAGTCTACGAAAATGGACCGCTCCGGGGTGCCTTCCTTGTGCCTGTGAAAAGTTAAAACGGCACGAGAGATCAACGCTCGGTCGAGAGCTCGATCTCAGAGAATAGAAGCGAAAAATAAGACTGGCACAAGACGTCTTTGCGCAGTAACGAAGAACTCGGCGCCCCTGGTCTCCTTCGTCGAGTCGCCACCGCGTCATATATTCATATACCTAGCCTAATAATACAGTCTGCGATAGCGTTCTAAGGATTAAGTTCATTAACGATAATGCATTATATTACACGCACTCACACGCTTTCCGGAGGTGACATACGTATGCACGCAAATGCACACAAGTCCAATATACTCGCGTACGCAGACACGCAGTTCTGACCGATTGCCATCGAATGAAAGAAGAAATATTTTAAGACTTTTGCGTAAAATCGTTAGAAAATATCGCCGACAAAATTTGTATATCGATCGATGTCATCTTGTATTTGAGAAATAGAGGAACACAGACGAACACTGGAAAAAGTACAAAAATGAAAAACTACATTTTATTCATTTGAAAAAGTATAGAAAAAATATTCTTTATCTCTTGACATCTCGTAAGAATCTTCTCAAAAATTACATGTACAGCTTTTTGCTGTATCGTTAGCGTAGAGAGCTCTTCTATAAATACAAAAGTAAATTTTTTTTAAATACATGGCACTTCCGGCCTTGTTTATATCAAACCTTCAAATGTCCCGCATCTGAAACATTTTGTTCCTCCTATTTCAAAGCTACACAATGACATCGTGTTAATTTTCAGAGGTTCCGAATACAATCCCGAATTAAGAATTATGAAAGAATTATTAAAGAAAAAAAAAAAACCCGAAGAGAATTGTCGGTCGGTTGTAAGACTCGGCACGTTCGCAATCGATCGCGCCGCGAGTTTGTGCGTCGGCGGCGGTAAGGCCTGCGTGTACATCGCGAGCACGCACGTACGCACGCAGGCAGGCACGCACACATTATTCATACACGCGAGCAGGCACGCACGCACGCACGCTACGTTAGGCGGCGTAATTAGCACAGCGAGCGAGAGAGTCTTGCGCGGCGAGAGCTCTAACTGCGCAGGCGAGCGTAAGAGTGGCGACGTACGAGCGTCCGCGACGTGACAAATATTTCATCGCTGGACCAGCGCCGACAGTGTTCCCGCTTTTATTCCGAGGATCAAATTCTGATCGTACATTGACGATCTTGATTTTGTGCACGTTATCAACACTAATTATATTTTCGGTAATGCGTAATTATCGTTATTATCGAAAAGAGTTGTGATCAAGCCAAATGAATGAACTGACTTGTTCAAGAGTACGAATGATCTGTCAATTTCTTGCAATGATTTTGCAAAGATATGATATTGAATTGAAGATTAAGATTTTATCGTAGGAAAAAAACGGGAGACGTTTCTTTCAAGATTTAATCTAATTGTGCACTTTGGTCACATTTTTTGTATAAATATTGTTTAAGCGAATTATGTTAGTAATTCTGTATTTCGTGATGTATCCAAAAGACGAATTATTTTTGCCAAATAAATCGGGAAACAGCATGTCCGTCGGCGTGCGCCGTTCGCGCGGCTCTTTGCGCTACCATCGCGGGCCGGTGACCGCGCTCGAAGCACAGCAGCCGTTCGGTTGCGCTACGATTTCTACGCGATGTGAATTCCTTTGCGTCGCTCCAAACAATCGACCAAGCAATAACGGCTTGAATGAATTTCCATAGCCGGCGCGTTTAGGTGTCGCGCGTTTACCACGACGCGCAGCATTGAAAGAAAGATATTTTCTACTAATTGGCCACGCTTCGTCACGAGATTAAGAAAAGAGAAAGAGATATAGATAGACGGAGAGAAGGAGAAAGAGAGTAAGTAAAAAAGAGACAGAGAATAACGAGAGCGATATTAGTCGCGCGCGCGAATTAAATCCAGGAATCCGAGGAATCAACGATGAGAAAGAAAACGCTCTTATACGTTACGAGGTACATACTTGCCTGAAGAGAGATCAGTCGGGGCAAGTGTAAATCGAACTTAACCGCGTGAAATTGAGATAGCTTCGCCGACGAGTGTCCACCGCCGATCTTGGACGCTAATCTCGACGACGACACCCGTCCTCGCCGCGGGAACATTGCTTCGGTCCGGCGGGCGGAAATGGAAACTAAACGGGCGCAGCTTAAGGCGTGTGTGCTGATTCGCCGACCGATCGAACGAATACGTGGTGCTTCGAGTCGCGACACACGAGGCGCCGCGCCGTTAAGTGGGCTCCTGACATCCCGACCGTGCGATCCACCAGCGTATTTGGCAGTTCTGATCTCAGGTTCTCACGGGGTACAGAGGAGGCAGTCTTGATCGGCGAGCTCGCACGTGGCTCAATACTTGCTGGCCTCGACGAGGAGGCGACTCTCATGCCGTCTCCGGGGTCCCGAGTCTGCCCCGTCCTGCCGATGCGAGAGATGCTTCCAGCGATTCGAGTGCCGATGGCGATGCGTGGACGTGTGGACGTGCTCCCTCGCACTGTCGGCCTGCAACAGGGAGTTCTTCGTGGCCCTCATCATCGGCGACGGTTTCCTCGAGACGACGTACGGCTCCCGCGGCTCCATACCGCCCATCTCCGCGTTCACCAGGCTGTTGTGGTGGTTTATGTCGGCATGGGGATTGTACTTGATGAAGTTGAAACACTCTTGCCTGCCGTGGGGATTCTTCATCGGCTTGCCGAACTTGTTGAACCCGATATACCGCGTCCCATCGACGGCGCTCCTGTACCTCAGATAGGAGCCGTTGTACACCTCGTAAAACTGGCACATCGGTCCCTTCTGTTTTTTCGGCTGCAAATAAATAGTCGACGGTTCACGATACACTACTCGCTATTTCGACATTAATCCTTTGCAGCTCGAAATAATATTACATATGAATTAATATTAAATATTTGCCGTAATAATAACATTGACAATTAAATATTTATTTAAAAAATTAAATATTGTAAAGTTTATATATTACAATTTAAAATATATAAGACTGCAAAAGATTAAAAGGTCCATTCAAATCTATGACTATTATACGAGAGAATAATGCTTTTTCAGAATTCGCAGTCTTAATGCAAGAATACACGATAAATAAAGTGTTAGCCAATTGTTGTGTCTTTTATGAAAAGTTGCGTGGTTACATACATGGCAATGTATGTAACCGCGCTTAATGGATATGACACAATTTTAATTGTTTTCCATAAACGACGCAATAATTAGCCAACGTTTTATCTATCATGTACTCTTGCACGCACTAAATAAATTAAAACACTAAACTTTATTTATGAAAACTTGAATTATTGCATATAATTTTCATTACAGCATTCCAAATAAAAATTATTAAAAAACGGTTCAGC